AAATGAAAAATTCTTCCTCCATCAAGGAGAAGAATAAGGCTCTGTCCTTTCCTTCCATTTTCATTTATCTAGCATTGATTAGCAAGGGCTGCCTGTGGATGTGTGTGAGCCTTGCTTGGATTACAGGGGATTGAATCCACCTGAGAATCGTTCGTGGAGCCAGCAAAGCCAGCAAAACCTGTAACAACCCCCTTTGTCTTTGTTTTTTTGCCCTCAGTGCCCCATTTACCAGTCACACCTGCAACACATCAGTATTCATCACATGATCCCTGTTCCCTAATGACTACCTTGCCAGTTAATTACTCTCTGTTGGTTCTGTTGTTTGTGCTCCTGACTAGTGGTGTGCCATTGAAGCCTCAGGAAGTGCTTCGAAGCATTCTCTACTGTGCCAATACATGACTCAAGGCCTCAAACACATTAGCTGTGGTGCCATCTAGTGGTACTAAGTAACATTACAATGCATTAAAATGCTTTATACACATGGCTTACAATGGTTTTACATATAATATTAAGTCTGAGGATGGATGTAAGTTGTGTAATATAATAAAGTGCTGTTTCTGTGTATTGCTTATTTTTGATGAATATCTGCCTTTTGTTGACAGTGCATGTGTGTATGTGTATGTGTGTGAATTGCGGAATTGTGCTGTGCAATCACGCTTTTATGCTTTACCCTCGATACGCCCCAATAGCTTAGAATTGTTTCAATTGGAAAACTGGTGAACTGCTGAAAAGTGTCTGTCACATGACCTGAGAAGAACGAATTACACTCCGGTTCCCTGCTCTGGAACACATTGCAAGCATGTTTTTGGAAACATTTTATTTCTTGTAGTTTGTGTAGTGTAGTGACCCCGCCCACTGTGGAACAACAGACAACAGATGAGGTGCATTGTGGGTAGCTGGTTTTCAGTTTAGCTTCTTTCACCTCAGGCGCCTAGCTGATGTCAAATCTATGCTTTCCAAAAAGGACATGGAAAATGTGGTGCATGCCTTTGTTCTATCATGCCTGGATTATTGTAGTTCATTCTATGCAGGCTTGCCTCAAGCTTTAACTTCCATGCTCCAGTTGGTGCAAACTGCTGCCACCTGGTTTATACAGTATATGGGATAAAGAAGTGGGAGTGCAAATCCCCAATTTTGGATGATCTGAAATGGAAGTCAGTTAAACATTTAATTGCTATGAAGGTACTGGTCTTGGTGTTTAAGGCCCTGGCAGGGACAGCACCATCCTACCTTGCTGAGTTGCTAGTAGAATATGTGCCAGCTTGTGTCCTATGCTCCTCTGACAAGCACCTACTGGTGGTCTCTCGGGCCAAGCTAGTCTTGTGGCGAACGTGCATTTGCAATTTTAGTACCAACATTGGAATCAACTTCCATTCGAGATTCAAAGCTTAAGCACAGTATGAAGATTTAAAGTTAGGGTTGCTCGCTATCTTAGGATGACAACTGTGTTTGATTTCTTTTTGCAATATTGGACCCAAAGGCATTTGCCTGGTCTGCTTTCTAGAGTACACCAGATGACACGCAGCTGTATCATAGATCATTTTTTATGTTTTATGAGATTTCATTTTTATTTGGTATGCTCTTTAATCTATCTTATTTATTGAGAGTTCTTATCTATGTTTTAGTATTTGGTCGTTTTATTGCCTGTGTACAGCACTTTGAACCATTGTGACCAGTGATGGTAAAGTGCTTTATAAATTAAATGAAATTCTATTTTGGTGTGTTTTTAGGGTGTTTTGTTGGGGTTTTATTACTATGAATGTGTTGGTTGTTGTTAGTTTCTTGTTTAATGTTGTAATGGTGATAATTTTGGTTGGTGTTAATTTTGCACTGTAAGTAGCAGTTCCAATTTGAGAGTGCCATTCGGAACTTCACTGTAATTGCTAGTTCCAGTGTTCTGGCAATCAGGGTTCAGGTCTGGCCATAGCACAGAGTCAGCTCTACTGAGGGTCCTAAATGACATCTATCTATCACTAGATCAGGGAACATCTGTGGTGCTTCTGTTGTTAGACCTGACAGACACAGTTGACCACGCGATTCTACTCGATCGCTTGGAACGAAGGGTTGGGATCAAAGGGTCTGCTCTGGACTGGTTTAGATCGTATCTCCACAACAGGACATTCTGCGTTAAACTGGGTGATGTTTTTTCATCTTGGGAGGGGCTCCGCTGGGGGTCCCGTAGGGATCGATCCTTGGTCCTCTTTTGTTTGCCATTTATCTGCTACCTCTGGGGTCAATCTTTCGTAAACATGGCCTATCATTCCATCTGTATGCTGACGATTGCCAGATTTACTCTCCATTGTGTCAGGAGAAAGGTCACTCTATCCAGTCCTTTGTGTCCTGTCTTAACGAGGTGAAGTCTTGGCTAATGGCCAACGTTCTACATCTGAATGAGGGAAAAACAGAGCTCATTGTTTTTCACCCCAACAGCAGGAATGTGGATCGTTATGTTGATCTTGGCCCTCTTTCTCCCTACTCAAAACCAGTTGTTACCAGTTTGGGGGTGAAACTTGATGCTGGACTTAAATTTGATGCTCACATCAATTCTGTGATCCGGTCCAGTTTCTTTCACCTGAGACGCCTTGCAAAAATCAAGCATATGCTGTCGAGAGCCCACCTGGAGCGGGTACTGCATGCCTTTGTAATTTCTAGGCTTGATTACTGCAACTCTCTCTATGCAGGGTTGTGTCAATCATCACTGCGTCGCCTACAGGTTGTGCAGAACAGCACAGCCAGGTTCCTGACTGGGACCAGGAAACGGGACCACATCAGTCTGGTTCTGGCCTCCCTGCACTGGCTTCCGGTTTGCTATCGCTCACAATTCAAAATCCTCGTCTTTGTTTATCATTTCTTCCAGGGTGGTGGTCCACCCTATCTAGCCACACTCCTGAACAGACACTCCCCATCACGCGCTCTGCGCTCCTCTGACCAAGGCCTGCTCGCTGTCCCTCGTTCTAGGTGTCGTACTCGCGGGGACCGGGCTTTCTCAGTCCTAGCACCGTCACTCTGGAACCAGTTGCCACCCTCAGTTAGGCTGTCCCCATCTCTGCCAGTCTTTAAGAATCACCTAAAAACACACCTCCTCCGCTTGGCGTTTCCAGAAGATGTTTGATTTTGGCCCTCTTTTATGTTGAATTTATTTCACAGTTTTCATTGGTTCACTCAATCCATTGTTTTACACATTTGTCCTGTACCAGAATGTTTCACCTATTTTGTAATTTGTATTTTGTAATTTGAATTGCTTTTATTTTTGATTTATTCAATATATTTACCTTCAACTGAACCATGTTCAGTGCTTTGGGCTTCCTGACAGGGTTGCGGAAGGCACTTTATAAATAAAGCTTTGATTGATTGATTGATTGATTGAAAAAAACTGCCCAAATGGACAAAAATGTCCTTAATGAAGGGAAAAAGCAGGGTTTAAAGCTCGGCTGTAGCCATTTCCCTGATTATTTAGCAGACATCTTGACCATGTCAACATGCCTAAATGCATTCAGTTGCCAGCATGTGATTGGCTGATTAGTAATTTGTGTTGATGAGCACTTGGACACTTGTACCCAGTAAAGTGGCCAGTGAGTGTATGGTTTTGTTGGTGTGTTTATGTTGTGTTTGTTCATCACTGTTATTATCTTTTCTGTATTAATGGTTTTGGCTTGGTTTCTCAGATTTTTTGGTTCTTTGTTTTGGTTGGTCTTTTCTTTCCATTGTTTCTTCTTGTTTTCCTGCCCATGTTGGGTATCCACAGGGTTTTTTAGGTTTCAGCTAATACTGTAGCTTTCCTTAGACATCAGAGCACTGTCGATGTTCAGCTGTGTTCTGAGGATGGCTGCAGTGTTAGCTAAAAGTTGTCATATTAAAAGGTAAAAACAAGTTTTTACTATGCTCTGTTTAGAAAAGAATCAATCAGAGCTCATCCACAGCCTCGTTGCTCCGTCTGTGCTTGTAAAAATAATGAATTAATATTTTATTAAAATGTATTTTATTTTACAGCATTCACTTTTTACCAGTATGCCATTTTTAAATGTCAAGATTGTCATATTTTTAAATCTTAACAAAAAACGATAAAGACCTGAAAAAAAAAAAAATTTTGTCCCTCTGCGTCATAATGCAGTGTGTGTGTGTGTGTGTGTGTGTGTGTGTGTGTGTGTGTGTGTGTGTGTGTGTGTGTGTGTGTGTGTTTTGCACTTCAAGCACTGGTCTGAACCAGAACAGTGTGTCCAGAACATTAAAATTAAATAATTTCACTCAACATTTCCCCCATGGCCTGAACACACTCCGTCCTTCTGCTCCATGTAAACCTGAACAGGTCCAACCAGATCTTACGTGAGACCAGTTTGGACCTGTTCAGGTCACCTGCTTGTGCGTAATCAAATGTCTCTATACCCCGCGTCATTTTTCGACCCTTCGGGTGTGAGAAGGTGTTGCTCTATAGGCACTTTCTGACTGGGCTAGTTACAAATTGCTTTTTCCCCACTTATCTAACCCTGAAATATGTCAACAAATTTTTTATTTACCGTGAAATATATAGAAGCTTGTTCTGTCTTTTGAAATAGCACATACATTGTTCTACGATGTTTAACAGCTGATCTATTGGCACATTTTTTACATTTTGTCATTGGACTTCAGCTTTAACATATTTTGTCCTATTTCTCTGAATAAATCATCCAGTTTGGAAGAAGTAAACCTTATATATGCTTCATTTGAACAACAACTGAAAAGAATACCTAATGCGTAGGGGATTGCTTTGCTCTCTACCTTCTCTGTCTGCTGCCAGTTCAATGATGTTAAAACGGTTAATCTGGGGAGCTCCAGAGGGAAAGAAACAAATTCCCAAAAACATTAAACAAAGCATCCCAAATAATTGCAAATCAACAAATCACGCAAATAAAGAAACCAATCACATACAAATGTCCCAAGTTGCTGAGACGCACAACAGGCATTAAAACAGGGAAAACACACACACGCACACAATCATATTCATAGCCATGTCAGCACATTACCCTGCATCAAAGTGTAGAAGGAGTGTATCGAGGACAGGTTTGTAGTTATGGAAACATCTTCATCTTTCCCTGATGTCTCAATTTCGACTCCAATAGCTCCTGAAGACATGTCGCTGTGGAGACTGGTTACCACTCCAGTAGGGACGGTCACATTAGTCAGACGACCTTCACTGTCATAACTACAATGAAAAAGCAGAAAGATAAATAAGGAATTGAAAATACACAACCCTCACATTTACTTGTTCATTTTGTTGGGCTCACGATCTTTTAACACCTGTCAATAGGGATGGTCCGCTCAGGTTCTTTGCTGCTGATCACTGATACAGATTCCAAAGAGCTCCAGTCACAGACATCAATCACATGAATTGGACATACAGTAATCCCTTGCTACTTCGCGGTTCGTTCATCGCAGATTCGCTGTTTCGCGGATTTTTTCTTTGGAGCATTTTTCAGGGGGAATTTGCAGATTCGCGGTATTTTTCACTGATTCGCGGTATTTTTCTATGCGAAATATCAAGAAATTCTTGTTTTTTGTCATCAATTTCATCATAAAATGCACTTTTTGTAATAACACTAAAAAAAACCAAGTAAAAAAATTTTTTTTCTTGAGTTTTAACCACAAAAAGAGAATGTGATCATACGATAATTCAATATAGTACTGTAAGTCAGACAGGTCGGCTGGATTCGGGAGTTGAGCTTGTAGGGAGCGTGGTTTCACAGACGCGGAAGTTATAGCGTCGGTGAAACGCCGGCTGATCTAGGAAACCCCCGAGCGTTCGAGTGTCAACGAAGTGACACGGAAATGCCGGGCTTTCCAGAAGTAAGTAAGATAACTTACTATGAGCTGATAGTTCGTTGGATTGATCGGTAGGTAGGAAACTCTGATCATGAATCTGAAGAAACGATGACTGGGTGGTGAGCTGGAAAGGCGACTTCCGTTTATAGCCGCGGTTTGTGACGTAGGTGCGACGTGTAGGGAATCCCCGCGAGGGGCATGCTGGGAGTCCCTACTTTGCGGATTTTCACCTATCGCGGCCAGGTCTGGAACGCATCTACCGCGATAAACGAGGGATTACTGTAAATATGCACAAATATGCATGAATCAGGAACTAGCTGACAAAAAAGTAGCTTCAGACGACAATTTGGAGTCTTACTTCCTCATATTTGGACATCTCGCCTCTGACTGGATAACAGCAACAAGACTCTACCACCGACTCCATTTGCTCTCCAACGTTGATGCTTTATATCCAGAAACAACACAAGCATGGAGTTCAGCTATGTGGTGGAATTACTAATGCTAATGCTTAGCCTCTGCTAGCCAAGACGTTCTCTACTGTTTGCTAGATGCTAAACCAACAACAGACTTCCTGAGTCAAGATGGGTGAGTCCATGAATGTTAAGTGACAGTGTGATGTAGATCTGTCAGGCATTTCAAATCCTAGAGTTTCACCATCTATTTTATAAGCTAATGCAGGAGATAGGTGTAGGAGACTTTTTCATGTTCAGCCTGCATGAAAAGGTCAGCGTGACCGATTAAAATTAGCAACCTTTTCTTGGTCCGGGCAGTGTAGTATTGTAACGGTTTGAAAATGAGAGTAATGTTATAATTTTAGTTTTATTTTGAAGGGGAATTTGTTTCTGGTTCCGGTCAGCAGCTGTTGCATTATCCTAAAGCTGCTCTGTCACCAACTGTTCTGTAGATACATAGAGAAGTTGTAAGCTGTGGGTTACTGCAGACAGTAGCCAGAATAAAGAAAACCTAACAAAGTAACACGAGTCATTACGTTATTAGATATATTATTTTATTACCCATAGAGGGTTTGATTTGGCAGAACCCGGTGTCATCCACCACAGAGAAAAGGTGCTCTCCTGAGCTTAGCTGCTCAGTCTTGTGACAGCGGAGCTGTGTTGGATATGTCTGACTGTTGCTCCGAGTGTGTTTTTAAATTCTGTCAAGGAATTAAAAGTAATTAAAACAGCATTTTGGCTAATTCTGGTACATTGGCTCATGGTGAGCTGTGGACAAATGGAAGCCAAACCAACCCAGGAATAAAGATACCAACTTTGAAAACAAGAGTCGTAGTTGCTCCCACCCCATAAAGCTCTCTCCCTCAACATATCCATACCTCACACTCACTCCAGAAACTCAAGTAACTGTTAAAACTGTACCTTAATCAAGCATTTAACCGCCAATAATATATCTGACTTATTTGTTTATTTTTTCAGTTTTTTCTTATTTGTTTACTGCCTGGTTTCTTTCTTTCTAAAGCGTCTTTGAGTAGTGGTTAAAAGTGCTATGTAAAACCAAAGCAATATTGTTATTATTATTATTATTATTATTAGTAGTAGTAGTAGTTTTATCATTAATCCTATCCATCCATCAATTTTATGTACCCACTTGCCCATGCAAGTTTGCGGAGGGCTGGTGCCTATCTCCAGCAGTCCCCCAGGCAAAGATGCAGGGTACACCCTGGACAGGCTGTCAATCCATCGCAGGGCAACACAGAGGCACACAGGTGGAACAACCATACACACACACACATACATACATACATACACACACACCTATGGGCAATTTAGACAGCCCAATCAATCAAATTTTTGTATTAATATTAAAAATATTAACAATGATGACATTAATTCATGAGCTTTTTGTAGTGACAGAAAGAACGAGATCGCAGATACAAGCGGCCGAAATGAGTTTTCTACGCAGGGTGGCGGGGCTCTCACTTAGAGTGAGAAGCTCAGTCATCTGGGAGGGGCTTGGAGTAGATCCGCTGCTCCTCCACAACGAGAGGAGCCAGTTGAGGTGGCTCGGGAATCTGGTCAGGATGCCTCCTGGACGTCACTGGTGAGGTTTTCCAGGCACGTCCAACTGTGCGGAGGCCTAAAGGTAGACCCAGGACACGCTGGAGGGACTATGTCTCTCACCTGGCCAGGGAACGCCTTGGGATTCCCCTAGAAGAGCTGGCCCAAGTAGCTGGGGAGAGGAAAGTGTGGGCCTCTCGACTTAGACTGCTGCCCCCATGACCCGACTCCGGATAAGTGGAAGAAAATGAATGGATGGATGGATGGATCTAGGGAACACAATTATGTATATGATCTGCAAATTTCTGTCTATAACATATTCTTTCATGAGTAAAACAGCAAAAAAAAAAATTTAGGCCTATAAGCCACGCCCACTCTTACATAATTTTTCAAATATATTCACAGGGTGTGGTTATGAACATTAGTGCCGAGTTCTGTGGAAATCCAACAAGCTGTTATGCAAATATAAACTTTTCAACCATTTAGCGCCTCCTATAGGTGAATCTAAACAAAAAACTTGAATGGCTCAACCTGCATAAGAATCTTTTAATATGGTAGAGATGCATCCAAAAAAGTAATGTATAAACTAACGCTAACATGTTGTGAGTTGTGCAGCTCACAGGAGCACAATTTTAGATATTTTGCCAAGTTTTTATGTAATATTTTCTTGGCTTAATCTGGGACTCATAAGATCACTTGTCTTAAAACTTGGTACATCTACTGTATTTTTGGGGACAAGTAAAAGGTGATTTGCCTTTTTTTGCCACACAGCATAAAATGTTGCTCAGCAGAAATGTGTGTGGCTTTGATCAAGTAATGGAAAAATAATACAATACAATACAATAAAGGAACTGTTAAGATTTTGGGAGGTTAGACCTATGGAATTACAGTTGTCAGCCAAAATGCATTTTTTTTTTTTTGCTGTTGCAGTATCTTATCTAGCTTTGCTACTGGGTTCGCAAGGGTTGCTTAATACTCCAACCTGGTGTCCCCGAGCAAAGGGAACCCCAAGGTGCTGTTTAACACCATCAGCAGCATTATCTCTGCTGCCTCTCCAGTCTCCATCCACTCTGTCCACAAAGAAAGACAGAAAGTTCTCACAGTCTGTAACAAAGTCAACAAGGTTAGATCTAGCATCTCTCCTTCAGCTTTATCGCCGCCTCTCCCGACTCCAACCAGGCCCATCATCCTAGATAGCTTTGCTCCTGTTTCTTTACCAAACTAGTTAACTCTATGAAGACCTCTGCATGCCCCCTCGACATCTTTCCCTCATCTTTGTTTAAAAGTGCTTTTCAGTCCATCGGTCCCAGTGTGCTCTCTATAATTAATGCTTCTCTGGTTTCTGGTCAGGTCCCTGCTTACTTTAAGAATGCTGTAATCCACCCGCTTCTTAAAAAACCGAGTCTTGATGCCTCTCTCCATAGCAGCTTCAGACTCATCTCTAAACTTCTGTTCATCTCCAAGATCTTGGAAAAGGTTGTGGCTAAACAACTCACAGCTGCTCTTGATGAACATAACATCTATGATAGCTTCCAGTCAGGTTTTCGTAGAGCTCATTCTACTGAAACAGCTCTTCTTAGGGTCACTAATGACCTTCTGACTCACAGTGATGCAGGGGACTGTTCTGTTCTGGTCCTGCTGGACCTGACTGCAGACTTTGACACTATTGACCATCACCTGCTACTGGAGAGGCTGAGTAGGCCTATCAGGATCTGCTCTGGAGTGGTTCTCCTCTCATCTTTCTGAGAGTTCTTTCTCTGTGGCCGTCTCCAAGTTTCGGTCCTCTATCACATCCCCCACCCATGGTGTCCCACAAGGTTCTGTGCTGGGGCCTCTACTCTTCCTCTTCTTTTCTGCTTCCTCTTCAGCACATCCTGAGCTCCTTCAAAGGAGATTCTTACCATCTTTACACAGATGACATCCAACTGTACATCTCCTTTAAGCTCCATGAGATGTCTAAGCTGCAGCTGTTACACACCTGCTTAGACTCTATTAAAACCTGGATGGCTGGGAGCTTTCTACAGCTGAATGAAGATAAGACTGAAATTCTCATCTGTGCCCCAGACAAGCTGGTTCCCAAAGTTAGAAACTCTCTTGGTCAGCTTGCTTCTCACACCAAACCGTCTGTCAGGAATCTTGGTGTGACCTTTGACCCAGCTGAGGTCGGTGTCTTCTTTTTCTTTTTCTCGGGCCGGTGTTCAGTCCTGACACACTGCTGATCACCTGCTGCTGATGAGAGGATTTCTCCTGTCAGTGTGGAAGGAAGAGGTGAGCTGCTACTAACAAGCTTTAGTGACCTGTTATTTATATTTTATAATTAATATTAAGTGAATGCACTAAACCCAAAGATGATAGAAAATAAGATTAAATA